GGGGGTTGGATGGGTCAGAAGTTCTGGGGGTCCTGTCAGGGGGCGGGGAGCAGTTGGATAGGGCATGGGGGTCCCCGGGGGTCTGTCTGGGGGCGGGGGTGTGAATATGAGGTTGGGGTGTGGATAAGGGTCGGGGCAGTCAGGGGACGGGTAGGGTCGTAGGGGGGCAGTGAGAGTGGGGGGTTCTCAGGAGGGGGCAGTCAGGGGACAAGAAGCAGGGTGGCGTAGATAGGGGGTGGGATCCTAGGGGGCAGTTAGTGGCAGCGGTCCCAGGAGGGGGCAGTCGGGGACAAGGAACGGGGGGGTTGGGAGTTCTGAGGGGGGCAATCAGGGGGTGGGAAGTGGGAGGGAGTGGATGGGGCGGGGCAGGGCTAGAGCAGGGCTCCTCCCCCCCCCCCATGTCCTCTTTTTTGCTTGTGGAAATATGGTAACCCTAGAAAAACAGTGCTGTCACAAAGCTGTGGCATGTCACCATATGCTATTGCTGAGGGCTGCACTCCCAATACCAAAATGTAGCATCCTGAAAAACACCAAAGAACCAACATGATGGGTCTATGTACACTGGCCTGGCCATACATCACTGATTTAGAAATGGTCAAGAGGACCAGGATTTGCAATATTTTTTAAAAGGGCATTTTTTAAGGGTTGCTGGCAAAAGGCAGGGTTATGTTCAGATGAGCCAACCAGCCACAAGAGTTGCTCAGAGCTCCAATTCCAGGCAGTGGTAATAATACAACATATTCATGTTGCCATGACTGTAGCCAGATAACAACCCTATCTTTAAAAGATCTGGGATGTAAAGCATACACATCGCCAACTACCTGCTGCATTTCTACACATTTTTTATGATGCACAATTGATGTTCTGGGATACATGGTGCTCCTTTGTGCCCAAAAGCCCTATCGATTTCTACAGGTTTTTTTTTAAAGTTTTGCATATTGAATGACAAGTTGTGCATTATTTTTCTGAAGATTTTGAACCCATGCACACTTTTGACTCGAAGGGGCATCACATTATGCAAGTGAACCACCTTGCACATTTTTGAGGGAAGATGACAGAAGAATGCGAGTAGAAATATCTGGAAGATGAAGCATGCATGCATGAAGTGAGCACATGTGTTGTGTTTACCTATCCTAGCCTTTCGTGCTTGTAAAATGACTTTTTAAAATGGAATTAAATTTGTTTCTGTGTCTTTCCTGCAAATGTGTATAATGAACAATGAAATATCATTAGGGCTGTCAATTAATCACAGTTAATTCACACGATTAACTAAAAGAAAATTAATACCGATTTAAAAAATTATTTACAATTAATTGCAGTTTTAACTTGCACTGTTAAACATTGAATTTTATTAAATATTTTGGGATATTTTTATACATTTTCAAATATATTGATTTCAACTACAACATAGAGTACACAGTGTACAGTTCTCACTTTATATTATTTTTATTACAAATATTTGCAGTGTAAAAATGATAAACCAAAGAAATAGTATTTTTCAATTCACCTCATACAAGTACTGTAGTGCAATCTCTTTGTCCTGAAAGTGCTACTTACAAATGTAGATTTTTTTTGTTACATAACTGCACTCAAAAACAAAACAATGTAAAACTTCAGAGCTTACAATCCACTCAGTCCTATTTTTTGTTCAGCCAATCGCTAAGACAAAAGTTTGTTTACATTTACAGGAGATAATGTTGCCCTCTTCTTATTAACAATGTCACCAGAAAGTGAGAACAGGCATTTGCATGGCACTTTTGTAGCCAGCACTGCAAGGTATTTACTTGCCAGATATGCTAAACATTCGTATGTCCCTTCATGCTTCAGCCATCATTCCAGAAGACATGTTTCCATGCTGATGACGCTCATTAAAAAAATAATGCGTTAATTAAATTTGTGACTGAACTCCTTGGGGGGAATTGTATGTCCCCTGCTCTGTTTTACCCACATTCTGCCATATATTTCATGTTATGGCAGTCTCGGGTGATGACCCAGCACATGTTGTTTGTGTTAAGAACACTTATCACTGCAGATTTCACAAAACGCAAAGACGGTACCAATGTGAGATTTCTAAAGATAGCTACAACACTCAACCCAAAGTTTAAGAATCTGAAGTGGCTTCCAAAATCTGAGAGGGATGAGGTGTAGAGCATGCTTTCAGAAGTCTTAAAAGAGCAACACTCCAATGCAGAAACTACAGAACCTGAACCACCAAAAAAGAAAATCAATGTTCAATTTATATTCGTGGCATCTGACTCACATAATGAAAATGAACATGTGTCGATCCGCACTGCTTTAGATTCTTATCGAGCAGAACCCATCATCAGCATGGATGCATGTCCCCTGGAATGGTGGCTGAAGCATGAAAGGACATATGAATCTTTAGCACATCTGGCACGTAAATATCTTGCAATTCTGGCTACAACAATGCCATGAAAATGCCTGTTCCCACTGTCAGGTGACATTGTAAAGTATTATCTCCTGCAAATGTAAACAAACAAACCCTACTTCATGGGATGCATGCAGTGGAAAATACAGTAGGAAGATATATATACACAGAGAACATGAAAAAATGGGTGACATTACTGCCAATGTAGGCAGGAACCAGTGAAGTTTAACATTGTGTCATGATTAACTCTAGAGTTCCAAGTATCAGAGGGGTAGCTTTGTTAGTCTGAATCAGTAAAAAGCAACAGAGGGTCCTGTGGCACCTTTAAGACTAACAGAAGTATTGAAGCATAAGCTTTCGTGAGTGATAGCCACTCATCAGACGCAGACG